GCCGTTTTGAAGTTGAAACAAATATGTTTCAAAAAGGCAATAAAAAGGTGATTGCATTTGTCATCAGGTGCCAGACATTTTTTAGAAATGTAATTAGTAGTAAAAACTAGTCTTGTTTTTACAAACAAATGTCGGTCAATCTTGGGACAAAGAAATCGATTAGTTAGGCAAATCTGCTCAATTTGTTTATCCATAGACTAGCAGGCATTTCATTTGTTCAACTCAGCTAAAATTGAATCCGTTTAGTGCTGGTCATTCCGGCAACCGCAAAACTCTGATGGATTGGTTTCTCGTGATGGATTGTGAAACTTTACTGGAACAAAGTTTTGGTTGATCAGTGTCTACCATAGATCCAGATTAAATTGAAAAGTTCAATGGTTTTATCTTTTGTTGTAATAATCTGGAATCCTTTTGTGTAAAATATAATGTTATCTTATCTCCCTTTCTTTAAGCCAGCATCACACTTTAAAGTTTCCTGATTATGTTTAAGATTTGGTTGAAGTGTCCTGTAGGTTCCCCTGGCAGATTCCCATATCAGCTTTTCTTTTTTCTTGAACACTACAAAGAGAGTTTCAAATACTTACACAATCCTTCAAGACATGTTTATAAACCTCTCTATGTCAGTATGACTGATTCTTTCAATTCAGAGACCTTTCACCCAAACATCTAACAGAAAGCAAGGGCAACTTTGTTTTAAGCACTGAGATCCCACTCAATTATCTCCTCATCCCCTTTACAACTTACAGTGTCTACAATTATACAGTAATTCTATTTGGCCATTTCCCCTGCTACCGCTTGTCTTAACTCACCATGTTAACCTTTAGATTGTAAGCTCACAGGTTACCTACCTAAGTATTTTGTATAAAAAAGTTTTAACAGCTGGATCTCCGCTCCCAGACTTTTGTATTGGTCGTTGGATCTTGTTTGGTCTTTTTTTTTATTGTACCACACTGTGGAATTTGTTGGTGCTTTATAAATGTCACTAATAATAATAATCATTGAATCGGAAAGGCAAAATGTAGACAAACACCAAATGTTGAGAAATTCCACACGTAGCTATAATCACAGCGGGGCTATTTCACCCTTAAAGTTGCAGTTTGGGTTTTAATTTACTAGAATTCACAGTTTAGTGAATAAGCCTGCTCATGTTTTAGTTAGTGTTTTTTATTTTATTATACTGCACATTTATTCTTTACTCCATTTAAATGAAATGTACATATAAAGAATAATGTTATTAATAAATATATATTATTATAGCTTTCTAAAGTTAATCAGGGCTTCCTATAGCTTCACATTGTTTTCTTTAGAACCTTGTCATGAGTAGAAATATCATCGATATCCGTTTTTAAATGTTGTCTCCCTATAAAAGTTAAATTGTAGGAGTCTTCTACTTGTATGCATTAGAGTACAGAGAGACATTTGCTACACCCCATGGAACTGGCCATTTTTTATAGATAAATAATCTTCAAAGTTTTAATTTCCCTGATTCAAGAATGAATTTAACGAGTTACAGTTGTGATGCCACTTTTGCGCAGTATCAGCGTACAGAGGCCTTTAACATAAATAGAAAGAAGGACAATGTCAGAACTGGAAAGATCAATATAATTAAAGGACACTCCAAGCACCATAATAGTGCACATTATCGGCTATGGTGCTGCAGTGTTCTTTTAAGCATGCCTACTAACTGTCCTAATTTAGGCAGGACAGTCTAGATTTTTCAACTCTGCCCCGCCGTCCTGCTATGACAGACGCCTGCTCCGATTTTTCACTACCTGAAATCATTTGTTTTTGGTATAAAATAAGATGCAGCAGCTGGACCCACAGTATGTGCTGTGATGTGTCAGATTTAGATTATACTTTGCTCTCTGCTCTGCTGCGGCACACTGCATTGGACAGGGAGTCCAATGCTCTGCTGCGGCACACTGCATTGGACAGGGAGTCCAATGCTCTGCTGCGGCACACTGCATTGGACAGGGGGTCCAATGCTCTGCTGCGGCACACTGCATTGGATGCAGGGCTCAGCAAGCATGGAGACTGAGTGTGATCAGAGGGGTGAAGTAAATCCTCAGAGTAGATGTAAGCAGGTACACCACTACACTGTCAGGTTCTATGTATATTGCTACTGAACGAATTGGGTACAAATAGATTAAAAAAATTTTACACATGGAATAACATTTTCTGCATTTATTATATTGTGGCTGTGGACCCTCTATGGAGGGTTAAAGCTAGAGCAGCTTACCCTAAATTGCAAATAGATTATGCATTTCGCACCCTTTATGTGATGTTTATTATCTGGAGAGTGATTACTTTTTTGGCCTGCCTCCTTCCCATAGTGCATTCTGCTGCTATCTCTTCCCCAGGTAAACGATGCACAGAAACCCAGCCATCCACCTTTCTAACATGGCCAATATTAAGTAACCCTTGCTGGTACAAAAAAAAGAAATAAAGGCAAAACTGTGCTCCTGCAGCCCTTTTTTCCTTCCATGACGTCAATCCCCTGGCTGTAGTGGAAATAATGTCAAGGAGGCAGGGCTGAGAGAGAGGCTGTTCTGCCGTTGATTGCCATTAGCATGCTATGTGTACTGACCACAAACCATGCACGGATTTAACATTATCTGCCTGGCACCCTTGTTCCATCTGGCTAATAATGCTGTTGGAGTTGAAGTCACACCTCCAGCAGCAAAATAAAATATCTTTGTATTTGCAGTGTTTTACTAAAGCGCTGCACATACATATTCCAAGCACCATGACCACTTCAAAACACTGAAGTGGTCATGGTGTTTGGCGTAAACCTTTAAGGCAAGTGTTATATTTCTAACAATTATTTATTTGCTGCAACGCCTCCACTGGTAAATTAGTTTGACACGATTGCAATGTGAGAAGGATGGAAACGTACTGTGTAATTCAATAAACAAACCTGCTTAATTGATATTATGATAATATTTAATAACGTGTTGATTACTTTTCCAGATGCACAATATGTGTGTCTGTAATAATTGAAAGTTTCAATCATGTATTCCCCCTCCCCCCGCAGTCCAAATCTATCTCAGTGCGCCTTGGCCTCAGGGAAATTGTTGCCAAAATTACACGTTCAGGAAGCTGAGGTTCCAAATGGTAAACCACGCATAAAGTCTGGTTTCAGGCAGTGGACCACACAGACATTTTGTGTAGTCATATGGCCTGTGTGGTCCAGCTTCTGAAACCCCAACTTCCTGAACCTGTTATTTTGGCAAGTGTTACCCCAAACTGACACTGATTCACACTGTTTGTGCGAGCAGAGTTGAGAAATGTCTTCTGGTCATTACACACATATGTATTTTTATTTATTATTTTAATAACTCAATTTCAACAAATCCTTTCATCTTCCTGTTTTGTTTTATTATTATTACATAAAATGTTTTAGAGTAACATCCATTGCTATTACAGCTTTTCACCATTTCCGTTAAATATGTTGCAATTTTCACAGAGGTTTCACCCACCATTCAATTTCATCTTTAGATCTGCTAGATCTCTATAATCACAAGTACGCAATCTTCGGCACGCCAGATGTTCTGGACCACATTTCCCATAATGCGTTTACAGTTGTAATGCAGGCAAAGCATCATGGGAGATGGAATCCACATCTGGAGTGCAGGAAGGTTGTGTCCTGCTCCTGCTCTACGTTGTAGTATTTTTTTTTATTATGCTTGTCATATGGACTAATTACGCTTAATTTTGTTTTATTTTAATCTAGCTAATGGATTAATAGTTATTTAACGAGTGTTATTCTTGAAATATTGCTGGAGGTTTACACCGCCTGCAGTTATAAATTTTTTCACAATTTATCGGTTTTCTTTCTTTCTTTTTTTTGGGGGGGGGGGGGTAGATGTCACATGGATCAATACCTATTTAATTATGCAGAGAGTATTTTCTTGTGCTTTTGACTCTGTCTCTTGCACATCTTGCTCATGTCGTTTATCTAGTTATGCACCGTACATTATGAACTGAACAGCTCAACTGCAGCACACCCAACTGAGCTAGAAGGACCGTCAAAGCCTCCGGCTCCTGCCCCACCATCCTAGGTTTGTTCTCTAGTGTCCCCTATTCACGAAAAAGGCAGCCATGAGGTGCCAAAATGTTGGGGGTATTAGGGGCTCATGTTTCTGCCATAATAGGCTTGTGAGAATTGTGGTAATTATTACTGTTTGCTTTCTTATGCCTTTATATTGTCATTTTGTATTTTTTTTTTTTTTTTGAGGTGCAGTAGAGGGTTACATAGAAACCTGAGGTGCCCCAAAGGCAGTCCTCCGGTGCAGCTTCACATTCGTTTGACATGCACAAAAAATTTTGTATTTTATATATCATGCAATAAACGTTTAAACATTTGTCGATTCACAATGCCTCATTTTTACTTATAGCTAGATTGCAAAGTATAAACGGGTTAGGCTATGGCATATGGTAGTTGAGTGTATGTTTGACATGCTAGGTGAGGTATATACATATATAACGTCGAGTGTCGTAGCTAAGTACTTATTTGCTTATAATGAAATATGCAGGTCTCAAGTTAAACATAATAAGAGAAAATATTGAAATAAGCAATAAATGTCTAAACATTTGTCGATTCACAATGCCTCATTTTTACTTATATATAACTTCGAGTGTCATAGCTAAGTACTTATTTGCATATAATGAAATATGCAGGTCTCATGTTAAACATAATAAGAGCTTAAGGCATATTGGTAGTGTGAACTATATGTGGGGATGCTGAGGTATGGGACTCAAATCTTAAACAACTTAAACAGCTTAGGGCCCTGTTAATCAGGTTAGTATTCTTGTCTACCGGGACATTGCTTGGCTTACTTGTCTGACATTGACCATTAGGGTTAGCATACCGAAAGAAAATTAAACCTGCTTGCACTTAAATCAACAAGGTTGGTGCAGAATAAGCAGGATAGTGTCCGCTGGGGTTAGATGGATGTGGTGATAAGGCGGCAGGCTAGTCCCCAATGTGTTCCCGAGAGTCAGCCGACTCCCATAGTTGGTATGTTCTTGGTGCCTGCAAGTGAAGCATAGGTGGTGCTCAAAGGTAGTGTCCACAGGTCATAGGTGGTGCTCCGAGGCAATGTCCATTGATTTTTATTGCTTCTCCTGGCTGGAGTCTCTATGTGGTAATGTACTCGCCGTACTGTTCGGGTGTTCCGGCTGCGGCTCGATTTCCCTGATCTCTGGCTCCGGGCCTTTGCGAGAGCCCTCGCCTTGTGTCCATGGAGCCTTCCAGACACGGTGGTTGGCTCGGGGGCCCGCGCGTTCTCCCTATCCCGGGTGTCCCCACGGGTGTATGGACGGCATGGGGTAAGTCCCTGCTGGGCTCCCAGCCCAGACGGATGCCGGGTAGTCAGGGTGGCAGCTTTGTACCCCTTTTTGATGGGCGATGCCGGTTTGGTTTCTGGTTTGGGTTTACAGACCTCCCTCCGGTTTTGTGCTGGTAGGCCCGAATTGCTCTGTTTGGGTTGTGGCTCGGCAGCCCTCTTGGTAGCGCCATGTTTGTTGCTTTTACGCCTCTCGCTTATTAGTGTTGAGGCTGTCGGTATCATTTTAGCCTCCAGCTTGTGCCAGAAATTGTCGAAGAGCGCTTCCAATCTTTGCCGAGTCCCATACTGTGGGTCTATAGGTTCAAGGGGAAGCGTGGCGTCCGCCATGTTGGGTGCAGCATCCTGTTGCATGCTTCCCCGCGCTTTTCCCCACTGTTCCTGCTCCAGTCTCGATTTGTCTCTCAGGTGTGGACCACGATCACCCACGACGGTCCGGGGGGAGGGGGGGTAACAGGGTTCCTGCTTGCGTTGTGTCAGCATTTCATGGCACCGGACCGGGGGATCAGCCGCCTCTCCCGCTCCACGGTCGCCAGGCCTCATGGTGCAAGTCGGTCTGCCAGCTGGTTTCAGAGTGGTCACAGGCTGCTTGGTCGGTTAAGTGCCCTTTAGTGGGTCAGATGAGACCATTTGGGTTTCCCTTTTTTTAAAGCTTTTAGGGCTAAAAAGTCGTGTTTTTCCCTATGTTCTGAGGCACGTCTATCTTCCATGCTAGTCAGGCCCCGCCCCTGTCATTTTGTATTTTTGCGTCATGCTTGTTGTACTGTTTACTGGTCTGATTAAAGTATTTACATAATTCTTTCTCGTAATTCTAGTGTGCATTCACCTTTTTATATATACATAACTGTCTTTTAGCATGCTTGAGTTTTGACACTCTTCTGAGTAACACTCTGGGGTTATGGAACAAAACTCTTTTAAACCTGCATCTTTTTCCAGAATCTACCAGTTCTCCATGAGAGATTTTTATTTTTAATTTAATGTAATATTGGTGACATTAAAACTATACCTATAAGAAAACAGTTATGTAAGAGTGCCTCCTCCTATGTAAGTCTAAAAATACAAATTTGTGCTGCATTCTCTCCATAATTTGTAGCATAAATAAATTATTTGTTAGAAAAAAATGATATAATGTAAATCATTAGTCTAATACACTGAATAATGTAAATAGTCTAACACACCAAAATTATATGTTCAATTAAATAAAAATAATAGTGCTTAAAAAATAACAGAGAAACTTATGAAAACACACAAAACTATAAACTTCAGTGAAAAAAAAAAAAAAAAAAGAATTTCTACGTACTAGGAACAGCCAAATACCAATGAAATGAAGAGAATCATAAACATAGTTAAATAAATACTGAAAAGAAAGTGAAGGCAGTTAAGGTAGATTGCGGATATTGGAAGTGATGCGTGTTTATTTTCTTGAACATGTAGGGAAAAAAAAAATTGCCCTGTGCCTCTTGATTATGTCAAGAATTCAACATTTTTGTTTATGACCTTGATCATTTGACATAGTATTGACTTTGATTTTGATGCTGTATGGTAACCTAGTTAGTTAGTTTAGTAGTCTTTTTAGATATGCCATGTGTAAATGAAGATTTTGTTATGTTTAAATTTTATATCCAGTCATTTAACCCCTTAATGACATAATTTAAAATAATGAAATTTAAGAAAAAGTGTTAAAAAAATGAAGACTTTTTTTTTTTTTTTTTCAGGTTTTGCATGGCATTTGAACGGTGAATGTCATAATACTGTTTGCTTGTACTACAATAAAATGCGCATATTTGGGTTCAGCGGTGTCTCATGAGTATGACATTACCCCCCATGTACATGTTTCATAGGGTTTTGGAAAGTTACAGGGTCAAGAATAGGGCCTGCCAATTTCAGTTTTTACACATTAAAATTTGCCAGATTGGTTTGCTGGGCCTATGTCGCCTTTGAGACGGTATTTCACCCTGGAAAGAAAATTACCCCCACCATGGCATACATTTGCAGAAGTAGACAATGCAGGGCATTCAAAATGATAAATGTTCAGTCTTTTTAAGTAGCCACTTAGTCACAAACTCTGGCCAAAGTTAGCATTCATATTTGGTTTTTGCATTTTTATATCATCGTCGTCATACATTTTACTGTTCTAACATACTCACTTAGTGTTCTGGGATGTCTCACTAGTACAACAGTGTCCCCCATGTACAGGTTTTATAGAGTTTTGGAAAGCTACAGGGTCAAATGTAGGACTTGTAAATTAAATTCTCTGGACATTGTGCTGGGTTGTCAGACAGGCCACAAAATATACTTAATAAAAAGACATAATTATGTACAAATTCTACATAACAAATGCATGTAAAATGAAATATATATATATATATATATATATTTATATAATATATTTTAATTCTAAGTGTATTTTGATATCATATATTATTATAATTACGTGTTTTTATTAATTATATGTTGGGGTATTTGCCCTAAAACCCAGGAAGTTTGACAGGATTGGCTGCAGGGGGACTTCCTCGGTTGTCAGCCAGCACCCGCGATCGCATCTGGTGGGGAGGGTAAGGATAGAGGCTGTAGAGGACCCAATTGTTAGGATCCTATGAGTATGATAAGTATAGAGGCTGCAGAGAGGGTCGAATCGTTAGGGCGTGGTATGCCACCCCAATGGTGTCAAAGCCCTCTTTGCGTAGGACGGCAAAACATGCCCTAACGTCGGGAAGGGGTTAACATATTCAATAAAAATGGATTCAAAAATTGAAGACCTACATATACATATGTATAGTATATATGAAGGGCGTGATAATATGAAATTAAAGAGGGTCCATGTATCATTTGTTTTTCATTTTTAATTTATGTGTTTCTAATGTTTTATGTATGTTTAAATAAGAAGTGAAAAACCTTGAGTGTCTCCTAAGGTATGTACCCTTTATCCATGCTACATATAATTCAAACATGAGCTTTCTAACCACATGCAAAAAGGTAGCAGGTTGGTGTTCTTGTGCGTATCACACAACAGGGTGTCAGGGTAAACACCTGAAATAGAGTAGGTATCTCCTGTTACTCTGGCCCAGCCATAAAACTAGTTCGGAGAGGATGGAAGTCACTACCTGTTCCAGAGTATTAATATTTTTGAAAATTCTACAAGAAAAGATCAATCAAACGGTGAATTTAGCATTTCAGTGAAATAGTTGGGTAAATGTGTATAATAAATCATCTGAAATACCTATTTTAAAGTGTTTTATCTAATCAGAAATGGTTACTTCATTTAGACCTATATCAATTTATAATGATATATTTTATTGCATGTAGGCATGTCAGTAGGTATGTTGTAACAGAAGCACGATCACAATAGAATCTCACAAAAGATTTTTTATTTTCTAAAATATTCACTATTTCAACTCAAGTTTAAAATAGATTTACAAATCGAATATGAACAGCTGCGATGGTGATTCTGCCAATTACTAAACACATGTTGGACTGTGATTATACTGAGACAATGACTGTAAAGATGCCGAGAATGTCCCATGAGTTCTAAGTGTGTAAAATAATTTCAAATTTTTCACAGAATGAACATTTCCAAGAATAACAGGACACACTTTTGTCACATTGGCCTTCAAAAAATGAAGAAGACCATCAGCAGTTGATGCAAAGTAACTTACTACATGTAAATAAAAGACCAAGATTATGGCACAATGGTTAATATGCTTAAATAAGTATACTTTGTGAAGTTCAGATATTTGTTTTAGTTAATGTGTCTAATTGCTTAACAACCAGTTGCCATTTTAATAGGTTCACATGTTCAAGCACCACGAATACACCAAGCACCATGAGAATTACAGTGATTTGAAGTGGTCATGGTGCCAGCCTGGAATAAGTGGTGCCAGCCTGGAATAAGAGTTCCAGCATTAAGTATTCAATTACCTTTATTCTTTTGGATATTTTCTGTGGGAGCAGAAGTGTGCATCATTTTAAGCTGATTCAATGAAAATGACAGTAACTTCAGTGTAGTCCAACACCCACCAGAGCCCCACTTCAGATCTTTAGCTAACAGTACTTTTTTGTGATGAGAAAAAATGGAACGTTATCATCATAAATGAGCTGGGCTCAGAGCTGGTGCAAGGATTCACTGGCAGACACACACACAATCACTGACAGACATACATTCACTCACTGACACACATACACAGAAACTCACTGACAGACATAGAGGGCCGGTGCAAGGATTTCTGCCGCCCTAGGCAATGATCCATTTTGCGCCCCCTCATGTCACTCACTCACTGACAGACACTTACTGACAGACATACACTCATTCACTGACAGACACACAAACACACTGACTGAAAGACATACAGGGCCAGTGCAAGGATTTCTGCCACCCTAGGCAAAGATCCATTTTGCGCCCCCTTATGTCACTCACTCACTGACAGACACTTACTGGCAGACATACACTCATTCATTGACAGACAAACACACACACACAGACACTCACTGACAGACATACACTCACTCACTGACAGACACACACACACTCACTGACAGACACACATGCACACTCACTCAGACACACCCTTATAGACACACGTACACCCACACTCACTGAAAGACATACACTCACTCACTGTCAGACACACACAGACATACAGACACGCACACACACACACACACACACACACAGGAAGACACTCACTGACAGACAGACACGACAGTCATACACTCACACACTCACTCACACACACACAGGCAGACACTCACTGACAGACAGACACACACACACACACACACACACACTCACTGAGAGTCAAACACTTAAACACACCTCCCTGGGGTCCAGTGTAGGGCAGCTCCTCACTCCTCCCGCCCACTGTTTAGTATTCTGGGGCCGGAATGACTTCATATTCCAGCTCCTGGCATCACAGAGAGCATGCAAGGGAGGCGTGAGAGGCTGCAAGAACAACCTCCCTTGCCGCCTGGCTTTTCCACCTCCCTCTCCTCTGGTCACTGGCATTTGTTGGCAGAGCAGGCACCTGCAACCAAGGTAAGCAGGTGCCTGCTTTGCCTTACCTAGCACAGCTTTGGGGGTGCCCTGACTTCAGGGGTGCCCAGCTTCGGAGGCGCCCGATGGTGGGGGCGCCGTGAGGAGCCCTATTACGGGAGCGCTGTGGTTGACTCAAGAGTCGCTCGCCCAACGCTGGGACCCCAGACAGGGGCAGGCAGCCCATCCCAGTGGGTGCCCCCAGAAGGTCTAATGCCTAGGTCGTCTAATGGTTGCACTGGCCTTGGTTGGGATTAAATGGGGGTTCTACTCAGAAGTTACAGTAACGACAAATATTTCAAAACAATGTAATTTCAAAAATGACTAAGCTTTATGAAATTGCTTTACCTTTCATTAAGTCAAGTTATCAGATTAGTGAGGTTTAGAATAAAACTTAAAAAAAAAAAAAATAATAACATTAATCTTTATAAATATTTGAGATAGGCACTGCCCAAATTAGCATACACTTAAATAAGCATTGATGTTAGCTTTTATTGATTTATCTATATTCTCA